CTCAGGTCGGGTCACTTTGTTTGAATTGGTGAACATCTCCTGCGCGGCCACCATCTGCTCACGCGATAACTGCAACTGTCTTCTCACCAATGGCTGCTGCGGTGGCGGCGCCACCACTGCTCCCAGTGCTTGCTGTTGAGGTTGGGGTAGTGGTTGCTGTAGTAACTGTTGTTGCGGTGCCATTGCTTGCATCGGCTGCACCAGAGGTTGAACTTGGAGTTGGGCCTGGAGTTGGCTCTGAGGCTGTGCTATCACTTGTATTGGTATCGGATTTGTCTGAAGCTGTTGTACTAATTGAGGCGTCGATACCATGGGTGGCAGCGGTGTGTTAACAGTAGTGACTGTTTTATTAATAATCGGTTTGACAATCGTTTTGATGGCACCGATGTTCGCATCAGTGGTTTGATTGACGTAAGTGTCGTTAACGGCAAAGCGTTGCTGAACTGGTGGTGCGCTTTGGGCGGGCGGTTGAGCCGACGACGGCATCTGCGGCGGCATTTGAGAGTAGTTCTCGTTGGGAACGACCGTCGGCTGTGGCGCTGGAGTGGCCGGCGGGGCATAACTCGGCGGCGCCGGACTCGGAGGTACGGTAGACGTGAGTCCGGCCGCGTAGTCGGGAGTGATGGCCTCGGGTTCGCTCTTCTCGACGTCCTTGTGTTTGGTGTCGTTCTCTTCGTTCTGCACTTTCTTCCGCCGCTTACTATCCCTTCCCAACGGCTGTTCCGTAATGTCCAACAGTTTGATCCCTCCGTCCCTCTTAACGCCCCCAACGCTAAGCCGGGATCTGCTGTTGAGATTTGCGCCCATTTTGTTGGCCGGATTCGATGGGGTCTTAAAACCGGGCGTTTGGGACAAACCGTACAGATTTCGGGGAATGCCTTTCAGTGGTGCTGTTGTTCACCAATCAATTCATTAGTTTTAATGTCAAACAAAACATATATTTATAATTAATTCATTACTGGAATCGTTGTTCAAACCGCGACATCGGATGGCAACCGATGGACCGGTAGAGTTGCGCCGACCGTTGGCCGCGTCGTTGGCTGTAATGATAATCAGCGTTAAAGCAATTAAAGTCATTAACGTATCGTTTGGTATGAATTCAATACATTTCTGCAGCAGTTCTGCCCTTAAAGTCGCGGATTTAGGTTTGCGTTTGAGTGCGAAGTGTTTGACGGGTTGTGCCAATTGGCCCACTGTTGCAGTCAATGCACTCTTGTTTAGGTACAGACACTCCAGAGGAAGGATACCTTTGTCGCCATGTTTTCGTACTAAACCGTTAAATGAGATAATCATTGAAATATGCGCCCAAAAACTTAAACCGAATCCCAATTTATACCTAATTTTTTCAATTCAATGACTAAATCGTTAAAAGACGAAGAATTGGTGTCTAATTGAAAATTAATGGATCCGTTGTTGGGATAATTCTTCAGCAATTCGGCTAACATAGAAACCCATTGGTCGGTGTCTTCGACGGCCACTTCCAGTATTTCCTCCAATTCTGTTCTCCACTGAAGTAGTAGTGGAAAAAACAATGATATGAATGCTATCATTGAATGGCAATCAATGGTATGAGTAAATGGTGTGAATACCTGTTCGACATTACGTCGGGAGATGTGGAGGAATGACAACAAGAGTTTGAGTTTGACCTGAGATTGTAAGTCAACGAAACAGTCTCTGATGTTTCGCAAGACATCGCCATTCAGTTGACTGATTATACTCGACGTGTCTTCGGGTGGCCAGCGATCGGATGACATAGAAATACAAGACAATTAATGTTGGGATCAATTCAATGGTGACAATGACGATGTCATACCTGACCACAAGTCATGACTGGTTCCCAACTTGTTGTGCAGCCATAGACTGGTGTCAGAGTTGGACAGATTGGACAGAAAGCGACTATTGGTTGCCATCACTCACTCAGTGTCTGTCAAACGGATCCCAAGAGTTGTGACAAAAACAATAACAATAAACAGACATTGAATTGAAGGCAAAAACACTGAAAACAACACTATTTTCGTCACAAATCACTCAATATTTACAATTCGTAACACATTTTCGGCCATTTTTTGTGACCACAACTCGTAGTGAGTGTTGACTTCACTCATGAAATAGTCGTTCAATCAATACATTCACACAATTCTCGTATTGTTTTCGCCGTATTTTCCGACTCATTATTATTGTGTTGATTGTATTGAATGACATTAAATGTATTATTTGTTAATTAATTAATTAAATATTAATGAATGAATGAATTGAATGAAAATAAAGTTTAGTTTCAACACTCTATACACACTCTATTGGGTTCATGGGTTGGGACACAAGCCATAAATGACGTCCGCTATTGCTATATGAAGCAAATGGGAGGGCGTATGGCGTAAGCGATGACAACAGTCGGCGTTTGAGTGCATGAATAGCCGATCAATCAGTTGTAAAGCATTCGGCACTCAGTTATTGGACGTATTTAATGGATATAATTGGCGCCCATTAGGTGTGAATCGCAACACTAAATGGTGTCATATCTGCCATCTATTGACTCATAAATGCAATGATTTCTATAATATCCATGAATTTGTGAATTAATTTTAAAGAATATTCTGTTTTAATAGAGAATATATTTCTCTAATATTAATAGTTATAATATAGTCATTGACTTTAGTTTAATATACTATTTGTTTCGTATGAATGCTAATTAAACTTATATATCTAGATATAATTTGGTTGTTTTAAGTTATAATTACTACTTTAGGAAGAAATAAAACGTGTTTAAATATATTGATAATTAAATCTATTTGTTATAAAGTTTATTCCACTTTATAAAGTGTTATAAAATTATAAATTTTGATACAAAACTAATCTATCATTTGTTTGTTTTGCAAATAAATACTCAATAAAATCTGTAAATCGATTCAAAAAATACTCAATTCATTGAAAGCAATCAAATGAAGTGAAATTCTCTACTCGGCTAACAATAGTCTCTCTCTCTCTCTCTCTCTCTCGCCGGTGTTGTAGTTCATCTGGAAGT